CCCAAGCTCGCCAGGCTGGCTTTTTTGCTTTGCATTGTTCCTTCAGAGCGGTTAGGCGTGAGATCAGACACCTTGCCTTTGGGGCAGAGTTTTCTCTGAAGGGTTTGGAGCTTCAAAGCCAAGTCCTAACTGCATTAGAGAGCACGGGGCCATTGGGGTTCCTATTGTGTCCAAAGTCTTTCAGATTCCCGCTTTGCTGTTGACCCTCTCCTGGCTGTGACTTTTCTATTTCTTTCTTTTCTTTTTTCTTATTAGTTGGGATTTCTTTCTTTTTCTTTTACATGTATGATGTTTTGCTCACATGTGTGTCTATGCACCCCATGTGTGCCTGTCCACCCCATGTGTGCCTGATGACCAGGGAGGCCAGACAAGGATGTCAAATCCCCTTGGACTGTAGTTATAGATGGTTGCTGTCTGCCATGTGGGGGCTGGGAGTCTAACCTAGGTCTCCTGGAGGAGCTGCCAGTGCTCTTAACCATTGAACCATCTCTCTAGTGATTCTAGATTCTCTATGGTGATTCTAACAATAAATAGGTTCCTAGGTACCTCCCTCATATTTCTACCACTGTATGTTTTACAAATCGGATCCTATTCCCAGTCACAGTGAAGAACTGGGGGATAACTTCCAAGTCACAAGGTCAGATTGATCACATGCTGAGGGGCTCTGTCACTTTCCCTGTCATGTGGAAACAGCAAAAGGAAAAAAAATTATTCAGTTAAAGTGAAAAGAATCAAGTACAAACTTTAAAGATGAGAAAAATAGAACCATTGAAATAAAAAGCTTAGAGATGGGTTGCAGTATAATTTAGAAACAGAGAAGGAGAGAGTTGGTAATTTGGAAGAAAGAACTGTCAGCCAAGTAGGATTTGAAAGGACTCTTTTGGTGGATTCCACTGTAGAGGAACGTGTAGTATAAACCCTAAGATAGCCCTGTTGAAGTTCCTTACGCCTATAATCCCAGCACTCAGGAGGCTGAGACAAGAGGATCACCATGAGTTCCAGTCTAACTAGGGCTACCTAGCCAGTTCTAAGCCAGCCTTGGCTATAGAGTAAAACCCTTCTCAAAAGATGTAGACATAATAAAGTAAAATCCCGGAATTACCTACAAGATGGTGGCATTTAGGCAGCCAGCAGAATTATCTCATCAGAGATGCTGACAGACAACGGATACTAAAACACTCGGAACCCACACTCTCATGCCATCGGCAAATAGCATGAGCACATTTAAACAGTGTTTTATTCTTTTGGTATATTTGGTGATTACTGGAGAGTGAGATCTCTTCCTCTACTTGCTGCCAGGAAGGATGTGCTAGTGAAATCAGGTCTCAAACTGAATCTTGTCTCAGTCTAAGATTTTTTTCTTTCAAATTTGCCATTTAAAAATAATAGTTATATGATTTTCTAGAATCAGTGAAATTCTGCTTCTCCGTCCTTTTGGGGTATCTCCCTACGACTTGTACAGGGCTTCTCTAGAGGCAGATATGATGGTATCCATGAACAGCTCAGCTTTTTGTTGCATTAAATGATAGAATCTTTTATTAAGCAGTGAGACACAGGTCAAAGAGGGGCCCATTGCTCTGCCTGGACTGAGGTGCGGCTCTGGGCTGCTTCTGTATCCTGGTCACACAGCGACAGAGCAGGTGCCTGCATATTTTTAACTACACCACATAGCTTGACCACCAATTATTTTTAACAATAAAAGGTTCTTCTAGACCATCTTGCTTTCTGTGAAGCTTTGGTATTTCCGAGGCTTGCAGACATTGCTTCTGGGGAGTCTTTCTTATTCTTATTTAGTACTGAGAATGGAATCTAGTGTTCTTCATGTACCAGGCAAGTATTTTCCATTCAAGTCCATCCTTAACCCTTTCTTTTTTTTTTTTTTTTAAATTTTATTATTTATTATGTATACAGTGTTTCTGTATGCCTGCAGGCCAGAAGAGGGTACCAGATCTCATTACAGATGGTTGTGAGCCACCATGTGGTGGCTGGGAGTTGAACTCAGGACCTCTGGAAGAGCAGTCAGTGCTCTTAACCTCCTAACCATCTCTCCAGCCCCTTAACCCTTTCTTAAAACCTTGTATTTTGGGGCTGGAATGATGGCTCAGTGGCTAAAAGCACCTGATGCTCTTGCAGAGGAACCAGGGTTCAATTCCTAGTACCCACATGGCAGTAACCCACAGTTACAGAATTGTCATGTAATTCCAGTTCAGGAGATCCAGCACCCTCTTCTGGACTCTGGTAGCATCAGGCACACATGTGGTGCACATCCATACTGGCAGGCAAGACACTTGTACACACAGAATACAAAATAAAGCATTTAAAAAAACCATTTTCACTTTGAGACAGCTCTCACTAGATTGCCAAGCCTGACCTAGAACCCACTCTATATTCCAAACAGGCCTTGAACTCACGGTCCTTTTAGCGTTGTGAATTGTTAGAATCTCAAGCCTGGGCTACCAGACCTGACTTGTCTGTGTGTGTGTGTGGTCATGTGAGTAGAGTTACATTTGTGTGTACAGGTATACATGCATGTAGAAGCCAGAGGGTAACTTCTGATGTTGCTCCTCAGGTACCACCTTCCTTGTTATTTTGAGGCAAGGTCTCCTTTTAGCCTGGAGCTGGTCAACTAGACTAGACTGTCTGGCCAGTGAACCCCAGTCTCTGCTTCCTTAGCATGAAGATTACAAGTGTGCTCCATGACACCCAACTTAAAAATTTTTTATTTAATGTATTTTTTGAAATTAAAATCTAATTACATCACTTTCTCCCTTGAGCCCTCCCCTCTTGCTTTCTAACTCATGGACTCTATCTTTTAATTTATAAATAAAAGTTTATCATTATATAGATAAAAATGATAATCATGTAAATATATAATCTCATTTATAATTTATAGGTCTATAAATATATCTTTACTATATAAATACACCCTGTCCAGTCTATATATTTGTATTTTTATGAATATGGTTTCAGGGATGACCACTTGGTATTGGGTAACCAATTGGTGTGCTCTTCCCTGGGGAACATTAATTTTCCCACACTCAGCCTTCCTTAGTGGCCTGTAGTTCATTGTCTGGAGTTGTAGTCCCATGAACTTTCCCCATTCCACCTGGACATGTCCATTGGTGTCATCATTGTTCAGGTCTTGTTTAGGCAGCCATGTTGATGAGACTTCATGGGTGTAGCTTCCCTAACATTTCTTGGAGACAAACATCTCACAGCAAACGTCCTGTTCCTATGGCTCTTCCAATCTTTCCACCTCTTCTTCCATGACCCCTGAGATTTGGATACAGCAGTTATGTATGTAGATGGGGCTGCCTACCACATGATCACTTGCTCTCTGCATTTGGATTGGTTGTGGTTTTCTGTAATGGTCTCCATCTGTTGCAAGGAGACATTTTTATTATTTTCTTTTGAGGAGGGGTGGGACCTATACTTATCTGTGGGTACAAAGATAAATATTTACAATGGAGTTAGGAATTATGCTGGATTAGTAAAGTTGTGGTTGTAAGTTCTTCTCCAAGACCTATGACTTCATTAGCCCTGACACTAGCCCATTTTGATGTGGGTTCCAGAGGATCAGGCTTGGGTCCTTATGCTTGTTAGTCAGGTTCTGACTGAGGTGTCATCCAGCATAGCGAGTACCTTGTTGAATGAGATGTTCCAAATTCTAGTGGATCACCTTTCCAATGTTTAATATTGATTAGAGTTCCTCCAGTCTTAACTGAGGAGACCAGACATTGTGACGAGCACACATCCATAGTTGATAGATATCATGCTATCTCTGCTGAACTATCTTAGACAAAACTAAGGACTATAGACCATCTGCAAAATATTTTAAAGAATTATGAAAAAGCCAGGATGTTTTTTTTTTTTTTTTTGGTTTTTTGAGACAGGGTTTCTCTGCGTAGTTTTGCGCCTTTCCTGGAGCTCACTTGGTAGCCCAGGCTGGCCTCGAACTCACAGAGATCCGCCTGGCTCTGCCTCCCGAGTGCTGGGATTAAAGGCGTGCGCCACCACCGCCCGGCCTTTCCCAGAGATTCTTATTTTGTTTTTTTTTCGAGACAGGGTTTCTCTGTGTAGCTTTGCACCTTTCCTGGAACTCGCTCTGTAGACCAGGCTGGCCTCGAACTCACAGAGATCCGCCTGCCTCTGCCTCCCAAGTGCTGGGATTAAAGGTGTGCGCCACCACCGCCGGTCGCCAGGATGTTTTTAGACTGAGGAAAACTTGAAGAGTTTACCACTCAGAAAGAAATGATAAAGGATGCCCTCAAGCAGGAAGAAGAACAGACCGAGAGGGAAGACACAAAATACAGGAAGCAAAGAATGAGTGATGTTTCTTTAAAAGCAAAATATAACTAAAAATCAGATCATCAAACAACTAAGGTCTGGGACTGAAATTGTATGGGAGTGAAATTAATGTCAGCTGGGATTTCAGAGTTGGGCGCTGATGCCGATAGCTTTGTACTTGGTCCTAAGAACACAAAGTAGAGACTGTTTTAAAGCCTGAAGAGTGGGCACTGAAAGAATGGAAACTGAGTATGTGAAGCCAGGAGCAGATAATAAAGAAGAGAACACATTTAAAACTGTAGAGAAAAAGGGCTGAAATGCACACACTAAACTCACAGTTTTCACTGAGTTTATGAGTTTTCTGGGGGCGATGGTGAAGGGTTGAGAGAGGAAGTAGGGGAATGAGGCCCACAGAGAGATAGAAAATATAATCGTTAATTCTGCGGTGGTGATAATATGGAATTTTAAAATATTTCTTCACTAGTTTTTGTATTATTTGAGAAAAACTTTTTTTTTCAAGTCATTGTTTAATAACCTGCCAGTAATTCAAAGCATGAAAAAAAAAAAAGTTAAGATTGTTCCTTTTACGGGTGATGCCCATCACGACAGAGGCGATCACGTAGTGAGATAGGATTCCACACAGCAGGGGCAGGCTTCACCGCTCACGGATTGACGCATTTGGTTACTGATAACCGGCCTGGGGTCAGGCAGCACACGAAATTAATGAACCCTCAGAGAACTTGGCGCGGTTGCTGGGTCATAAGCACCTTGAAGCGTTTCTTGATGGTGATTCGGTGTCTTGAGTATTTGTCGTCAGGGGAGAACCGAGCAGGATGGGCAGAGCAAGTCTGTTGTCCCGTAGGGTCAAATTTCTTCAACGTATAGACACGATCTCCCTGTTCGTTGAGGTAATACTGGAGACACATGACTGCACCTCAGTGAGAAGATGCCGACCTCTCTACAGCCAGCCGCGGTTACCCTCAGTGCACCACCTCAATCGAGAATTTTTTTTTTTTTGGTTTTTCGAGACAGGGTTTCTCTGTGTAGCTTTGCGCCTTTGCTGGAACTCACTTTGTAGACCAGGCTGGCCTCGAACTCACAGAGATCTGCCTGCCTCTGCCTCCCGAGTGCTGGGATTAAGCAAGAAATGCATGTATTAAAATTTTGAATCAATCTAAAGGCAGTAGCCAAGAGGCCATCAAGGGTGTGGGTGAGTTAGAAAGTCAGAGGTCACTGTTTAGGGAGAGGGACTCCAGGACGGGGAAGGGGGAAGGAAGGGTGATGGGGAACTGATTATTGTCCAAGCATATAATATAATGAAGCCCGTTGTTTTAGACGATGAATACATGGTTTTAAAAAGCTTGGGTGAAGAGCACATGGATGTAGTCCTTAGAGATTTTTATTCTATCAAGCTCACAGCAGGTGGTTACTTACAGTTACAGGGTTGACTCTACCTAGCTACATTTTTGCCAAGAATTCTAGCCCCTCCAAGCAGCTATCTTTTTCATTCTCTGAAGGTCCTAGGGTCTCTTGGTCTGCTCAACCCCAATTTCTGCCCCATCATACCCGGATGTGATTGTATCTTCTCTGGATCAACTCAGAATGCCTGGCCTCCAAGTACTTCTAAGCCATTTACTTTCATAGACACTTAGAAGCCTCTCTGTTGAAGGGTATTGTGCAGATTTCTGGGAACATAGAGGAACACACCTCCCCTACCATTCCTCATCGTGACTGACCTTTGCTGGGATGGGATCATGTGGTCTTGACCTTCATCTAGATGGGGGGAATTTCTTGTACTGCTAGGTATTTAGGGTGGCCTTCGTCTTTGCAGAAAGTAGTCATTTAGAAATGTCACATATTTTCTCTTAAATGTGGGTTCAAGATTTGATCATGTAGTCTGTGTATGATACAAAAGCAGGAAAAGGTGACTTTTTGTGGATGACAGGGAGGTTAGTGCCTGTCGGTCAGTAATATCAAGGTAAAATGATCTATGTGTATGAAAAGGCTATAACAAAACTCATTATTTTGTTCACTAAGAAAATAATTTTAAAACAAAATTTAAGTGTAGTTATCTTTTCCTCTAACTCCAAGAAAACCTTCTCTAGTGGAAGAATGTCTCACCACCTAGAGATGCCTCCAAAGGAAATGGAATACCAATAGGAATGAGCTTTGGGTCATCAGAAGTGGTCAGGCTGGATGTGGTTAAGGGCCTTCAGGTCTCTTCTAGCTCTGTGCTTCAAGAATTCGGGCATTGCTGGTGCTAATAGCCAGAGTCAGATTAAACCCTGGAAAACATACTTGTACCGTAACTTCTAAATGACCACTAAGTACTCTGTGTTAAGAAGTCACACCATGAAGAACCCTCAAGTCAGGTGCTTTGACAGACAATGAGATATTTTTCTTGTTGTCCCAAAGCCCATTCTGGATGAGCAAATGGTCCATCTGTGACTAAAGTTCTGTTAGTGCTGTTTCCCTGAGCAGAGCAGAGATGATATCAGATGCCTGAACTAGGAAGCTGTTACCCTTGTAGGCCGCAAAGCCAGCGACAAGACTCTTTCTGAACTTTATGATGGGACATCAGAATTTAAATGGACTCTGCTGTCCCATGGACTCAGAAGTCACACAGCATCCTTTTGGCATCTACCATGTGCTGCCTTGGCTTTATGAGTTAGGGTTAGGCAAGCTGGTCTCGTCACAGTCCCCTTATGATCTTCCATGGGAAGGAACTGTGACTTATTCTTTGTATCACCCACAGCATTTTGCAGAGTGATCTACAGAGGTTGGGGCTCCGTGACCATTCCGAGGCCCACCATTTAGAAACTGTTCAGGCTAAACTCATTTTAAAGATGGCGGGGCATCTCTTGGAGCTGGACCTTCTTTGCTCCTGTGTCTCCGTGGGATACTTCCATGTGTCTTGCCAATAACAGGATTGTGTAGGCATCCACCTGGAGGAAAAAGCAGGGCATGGTATTCAAGAAAGAACTAAGGCAGTAGCAGCTTTAAAAAAGGGAAGAAGGAGCGTGGCGCAGAGGGAAAGTTCAGAGTAAAATCCTCTCTGTTCAGAGGAAATGTTTGGTCTAAAGAAGACTAAGAAGTACGGATCTGAGTGTACAAGCACATTGGGGAGCTCACCCTGGAGCCACTAGGAGAGGAGGAGAGAAGGGACACAAGAGAAGGAGACAGAAGATGGTGCATGAGAGATCAGTTCTACAGAGGGGCCTGGATCTCAGTCTTGGAGGGCAGGAAGGGGTGCAGGGCTTCCCAAGCTACACCAGAGGGACACTGATTTTCCTGTGCACTATCCATCCCAGCACCAGGCTCTCGGACGCGTTAACTCCCTGGCTCTTCCAGCTTCCCCTGTGTCAACTGAGTCCACGATCAGAAAACGTCACAGGAGTTCCTAGGACACAGCTTGCCTTGTCACACGGAGGTGAAGCCCGAGAAGGATGGGCAGGCTCTGAGTGTCTGCCAACGTGTACCTATGTTACCTCTAAGGACATGACGGTATGAGGTCTAAGAGGAGAGTTCTGTGGTCCTAGGCTACTTCTGTACTCCTGGGCATCTTGTTTATCCCTGTTGGATGATTCCTGGCTTTACAGAGTCAATCTGAGTCTGAGGCCAACTCCTCTGCTACCCTTTCTCCTGAGTTTTTCCCCCTTGTATTCAGACTGCCCAACCTAAGCTCCCAGGGTAGCTGAGAAGACTATGGCTGTATGGCTTTGATAAGCAGTTGCCTCCACTGAAGTGACATTTGAGAAGGTCAGCTGCCAAAGACATTTATGTTTTATTAGGTGACTTAAGTCCGGAAAGGGACTACAGGATTCAAAAAGGTTATGATGGTTTGAATGAGAATAGGCTCATATACTTTAATGCTTGGTTCCCAATTAGTGGAACTATTTGGGAAGGATTAGGAGGTGTGCCCTATGGTTGGAAGAAGTGTACCCTGGGGGTGGGAGGATAGGCTTGAAGATTTCAAAAGCCCATGCCCCCTACCCCCAATAAATCAAATGAGCTCCCGCTCCAGCATCATGCCTATCTGGCTGCTGCCATGCTCCCTGTCATGACGGCCATAGACTCACCCTCTAGAATTACGAGCCCCAAGTGAAATGCATGCTTTCTTTTATAAGCTGACTTGGTCATGGTGTCTTGTCACGGCAGTAGAAAGGTACCTGAGACAAAAATGAATCATCAGTATGTGGTCTGGGCCACTTGCTAGTCTAGGGGGTGGGTGGCACTCACAGGATGGGTCTCAGGGATGTCACATGTAAGTAGGGTGCTCAGGTCCTCCACGTCCAGGAGTAGGGCCATGTTAGGAGAACCCCATTCTCAAACCACATGTGTTCCACAGGCCCTGTCCCACTGGTTCCGTCACTATCTCATGGGCATTGTCAGGTCCCTGCTCAAAATGGGGTTCTAAGAGAGGAGGAATTCTCTCCCAGTGGAGCTTGGTGAGCCTCAGGAGTTCAGAATACCTAGGCGTGCACTCCTGTCTTGCTGGTCTTACACTTCTGTCTGAGAATCTTTTGTGAGAATGTTACTGAGACTCACCATGTCTGGCTGGCCTTCTGCGTCTGTGAACTAGGCGGTGCTGTTTAGTTGTGTTATTATTACTACTTTCCTCAACGGACACAGCTAAAGTTATCCAGGAGGAGGAACCCTCAATTGAGAAAATGCCATCAAAATGGCTTGTGGGGAGCATTTTCTTGATTAATGATTGATGTGGGGGGTGGGGAACTCACCGTGGATGGTGACACCCCTGGGAAGGTGGTCCTGGGTTATGTAAGAAAGCAAACTGAGTAAGCCATGGGGAGCAAGCCAGTGAGCCATTTTCCTCCATGGCCTCTGCTTCAGCTCCTGCCTCCAGTTCCCGTTCTGACTTCCCTCAGGGGTGGACCAGAACTGGTAAGCCAGGTTAACCCTTTCCTCTGCAAGTTGCTTTTGGTCATGTTGTTTAGCACAGCAAGTGGGCGTGGTATAGTGGACTGACTTCTCAGGGCATCTGAGGATGTAATGAGCTGTCTTCATGGTAAGTGCCGATCACAGACTATTGGCATGGAAATGAGTTAGAGAGGGTTGGGATCGAAGGAACAGTGGGGCCCCGATAAGTTGAGCATCAGAGCCACAGTCTGCCACTTACGAGCTTTGTGGCCCAGGATGAACAGTTTAGCCCCTCAGAGATTCAGTTTCTCTTTGGTCGTATAGGAATTATAAGCCCCATGTCAAGTAGCTGTGAGAATTAAATGAGATGAAGGATGTAAACCATGGAACATGGTGTTTGTCCTCCATGATGTGATTGACGTGTTGCGTTGATAGTAAAACATCTTGGTAAGGCTTTGCCTTTGGCTTTGCATGAGAGAGGCGGTCATTATGGTGACACGGAGGAGGAAGCGTTGCCCATTTGGGGTGGGGATAGCAAGAAAAGAATATATAATAGATGTGGAGAAGTGGGGTGCTGCAAAGGTGTGGAGGAGAATGGGGTGTGAGCTGGAAGAGAGAAGAACTAAAGATGGTCAACAAAGCCTTCTGCTGAGAAACGACTCTATTGTTATAAGAACCCCTAGGAGTCAAAGACCAAGAAGAAATATCTTTCCAATTAGGGAAGAAGGACGCAGAAATTCTTATTTCCTTACCTCACTTTGATGAGAGTTCTTGAGAATGTAGACATATGGGGGGGGGGGCAGGAAAAAGAGAAAGTTAGCTAAGGACCCTCATCCTGGAAGTCCACCTAGGATGAGCATCCTCTGTGGAGCTGAGCATTGAAGTCCACCATCTTCTTTCAGAGACCAAGGGTCTGGATCATACCAGTGTGGGTAGGGCATCTCAGGTGTGGACAGCCACATTGGTGTCAGCAAGAAGCCACTGCATGGTGGAGTTTCCTTACTGAGTGTGGAAGAAGGTAGGCTTCTTACCTTACCACATTACCACAGAGTTGTGGTTGAAATGACAATATTTGACTCCCCACATTATGGGAAGTAGAGCTTTGAGCAAGTT